ATAAAATAAAACTTTGTTTCACTCCACCAAGTAAAGAATAACTATCATCTGAGAACTTGGATGAATATAAAAGAGACACGGAGTCGGCAGTACAATAAGGTAGTCATAAAAATGAACTGAACCTCATGAGCCATCGGTAAAATGATGGTTACAGAAGCTAAGCATATTTTCTCCCTAAATTGTGTGTTTGTCAACGCCTTTTATTTATCATATTAAGGAGGTATTTCTGGTGGTTAACACTGCAGTTTATTTTTAAGTTACAGCATATTTATGTGGGATTATAAATAAATTAGAAAAAAAATAGATATAACATACAAAGAGTTTCTATGCTGACATTTCTCTGCTTCTGACCTGGGCAGCAGCAGTAGCTGACAACGGACACCTTCATAATATTTGTGTTGGTCCCAGCAGCATCAGCAAAACTGAACTCTCAAAAGCGCCATCAGCATAGGTACTTCTGTCCCAACAGCACTGATAGGCTCTGAATCATGTCTTCCTTTTTTGCTCATCCAGATTTCTGGACAGTAGTTTCTTTCTGCAGTTACTGAACTCTTGGTAACACCACCTTCCCCTTTTACTTCTTATTTCTGGGCTGCAGGTTTTTATTTTCAACTTGCTACTGCATGTTTTCCAATTTATCTTGAAAACATCTCAAGATGTAAAAATGAACTACCTACCTTCCTGAACTTTTTCTTTTATTGATACTCCCTATATGAGCTAATTAGATCACTATCAGATCAATGGTCTGATCAAGAAACCAAGATGAATCACCATTACACATATTTTGGTGTACTTAATGGTATCCTGGATCACAGTGGCTTCATATGATAAGACTGGACTGTGAACCATAAGGTCCGCAATTCAAGTCTGCCAGCTGCTCAATCAGAAAAAGATGAGGCTTTCTGCTCCTACAAAGCTTTAAAAAGCCTTGGAAACCTGATACATGGTGTCCATGAGTCGGAACCAGGTCCGATGAACTTAAAAATGGTATCCCACATTTTTCTGTTAAATTTTATTCATTCTCTTTTGTCCCTGTTCTTCAGATTAAATTACTGTTATAGATATATCTTCAAATCTATTGATACTTTCTACTGATAACTCAAATCTACTTATGAACTCATCCAGCAATTGATGAAGAAATTGAATATTTTACCAACTTCTGACTGAAAGAGATCCATGTGCCCAATTTAAAGAGAGGTGTCCAACGGAATGAGGAGCTCATTGAAGAATATCATACTGTCATATGAAAGTAAAATTTTTCTGAAGATCATTCAAAAATGGTTGCAATAGTACAGTAAGAGAGCTGCCAGAAATTCATGTCAGATTGAGAAATTGACGTAGAACTAGGGATATCATTGCAGAGGTCAGATAGATCTTAGGTGAAAGCAGAGAATACCAGAGAGATGTTTATTGGTGTTTTACTGACTATACAAAAGCTTTTGACTGTGTGGATCAGGACAAGCTATGGACAATATTGTGAAGAATGAAAATTCCAGAGCACTTAACTGTGCTCATGAGGCACCTGTCCAAAGACCAAGAAAAGCAGTGGAACATTGTCAGATACAGAATCCAAATATGAAAACATGATTAATAGCTCTAGAATATTGTCAGATAGAGTGCTGGAAGATGAGTCCCTCTGGTTGCAAGGCACTGTAAATACTACTGGCAAAGAGCTGCCTCCTGAAAACAGAGTTGACCACGATGACATGAATGGAGTAAAGCCTTCAGGACTTTCATTTGCCAATGGGCCACAACTCAAAATGAGGGAAAATAGCTATAAACATCCATTAATAATTGGAACA